CTCATCACTTCGTATTATCTGGATATAAAGAACCAGTCAAGATATGATAAATCAGTCATATCTTTGTAGCAACTGAAATTTTTTTTTGCATAAACTTTAATTAGAAGTTGTAAAACAAAATGAAAGAAGTAAAGGTGTGGATAAATGGAAGGATGAGAGAAAGAGAGAAAAAGAATATCAATGATATAGAATTCCAATATGTAAGGTCTACGAGTCATCTCATAAAAGACAGTGTAATAAAGCATCAATACTAATTGATTCATCCATAATTAAATATTAAACGAATCAAGAAAAAAATAAAGAGCTTGGAGCCAATAAAGACTAAGAAGATTGACTCAGGAACAAATTGGATTATGAGCTCCATTATAGAATTTGGACCTAACAATTAAGTTCGAAGCGATGGGAAAGATGGAACCTTTGCATGCAAAAGATTTTATTGAAAAAATGAATCTTAACGATTCACTAGTCGGGATGGGGAAATGAACTGGAGATTAATTCATTTATTAGGAGAAGTCACGAACGAGCCCTACAAATGAAATAGAGATTGAAAGAGTAAATATTCGCCCGCGAAAACTTTTTTTTTAGTTGCTAAACTTGGATAAAGGACAAAACAAAATAAAGATTTTTTAGAACGTTCTAAAAAAAAAATTTTTTTTTACAAAAAAAAAAAAAAATTCCCTAAAAAAAAACCCCCCCCCCCCCCCCCAAAAATCCGCCTGTGGACTGCACTTTTTCAATCGACGATCACATTCACAATCACGGCGCAGAGAGGGTTTGGAATTTGGAAATAATGTTGTAATTCAGCCTCTGATAATCTGATTGACGATGGACTTGAATGAGTATTTGGGACAATGGGCCTAATTGCCTAAATCCAAATGTTAAAAAAATAAAAAAAGAGCGGCCCAAACACAAAATCCCACTAGAAAAGGCCCAAACCAAGCATTCATTTCATCTCCTTCACAATTTCATCCCCTCCCCTTCATCTGTTCACCTTTATCTATTCACTTTCTGTAGGTGCCATTCGCCATGGACGGAAATTCGAGGTTCCAAGGGCAGCATGTGAGACCGTGCCCCTTCGCCAGATGTTGGCTCCGTCACTGCACACATTCTTCAAAAAAATATTAGTGTGTGTTTGATTACATCTATTTTCCATGTAAAATATCAGTTTTCCACCCAAATTCCTACTTAGAGTGTTTGATTGTCATTTTTTTCCATGAATTTTTTTTTTCCAACTTTTGAAAATATGCCTAATTTTCCTTCTTTCTAAGGAAAACATTTTCCTTCGATATAGGTGGTTTTTCTTTTTCACAAAAGATCGAAAACATTTTCTTTTGCATGTGACATTTTTCATGCCAATGAAACACACTCTTATTTCAAAATTATAATACCAAATAACGAGAGTCAAACAAGGATTAGTAGTCGTAGTATACATATTCAAAATGAGCCCGTCAATTATTTTAGTCACCTTGTTTCCACCTAACACCTTGAATTACAGCAAGTATCGCTTTCAAAATCTAAATCTAGCTAATCAATCTTATGATATTAACTAAATTCCAACCCTTAAATTTCAATTATAATGGTAAAATAAAATAAGTGGTCATGATCAACTCGCGACATGAGCTTGAAAGTTTTAATTCTTGTTGACTTGTGATGCATCATCATCGATCTACAGCCCATGTGGCGCACTTCTACATGCTGATGTCTGTTCGTGTGATTTCTTATAAGAGGTTCTATCTCCTTGATAAAGAATTTATTAGCTAACTTAAATAGTAAGTCATTTTAGATAAAATTTTATCTTAAAAAGACAATCTTAATAATTATATCAAAGTATGAGATACTCAATATGTGATGTGATGTGTGTGATGCAATTTCATTCCAAACAATATATATATGTTACTCATTTTGTACGAGTTACTGAAGTAAAAACTACGTCACAAATCTCAAGTATTTAGATATCCTTAAGAACTGAGTAGTTGTTCGTTGTCTCTTTCATTCATCCATCATATATTTATCTTACTTTTTTTTTTCAAAAAAATCATTATTTGTCCAAGTTCCCTTTATTTTGGAATTTTTTTATATTTAATCCAAGGAAAAATAATTGTAAAAAGTCAATTGAGCTTATTGTGATTTCAACTTAGTTGAAGTTCATTCAAGATTTCGATTAGTTGAAAAAGTAAATCAAACTCAAATTTTACAGTGTTAACCAAATTTAAAATAAGATACAATTCGATTTAGCTTAATTTGTTTCAGTAAAATATTCCAAAGTAGCAATTACAATTTACAACTTTATTATGGGAGATAAAATGAAAAATATTAAAATTCCATTGCCGGGAATCGAACCCGGGTCTCCTGGGTGAAAGCCAGATATCCTAACCGCTGGACGACAATGGATGAGCTGGCTGCTTTTTGTTAACATAATACTTATCTAATTGTCAAACATAAATAACTATACCCGCTAGTTCACCCCACTCCCATACTTCATCAATGCTAATTTTGTACAAGTTAAGAGCGAATGGTATTTATATATTCAGGAATGATCTCATAAGTACCGGTCCTTAATTTATATTAAGCACCGATAACATGTATTTAATGATTTCACCTATTAAATTGTGTGTTATGTCACCAGTTCTTAGAAGATCATTTCCGTTTATATATTAACATAATCTGTACAATTGCCTAGATTCAAATAGTTAATCGTAAATTTTTAAAAAATAAAAATAAAAATTATTTTGTTATTATTTTTGTCACCCAATCATTGTTACAGCCATTCTCGCAAGATTATGTTGCAACTATAATTTTGCAGCGTCGATATTCCTACAATGTGAGATTCTAAATTGTCACCAATTTGATGCTGAATGATTAATTCTCCATTTCTAGATTAGCCAAACCCTAAACCTTTTATGAATGTTAATAAATCTAATTTATAGCTGCAAATGCAACAACCAAAAGCATAGCAGTCAAGTAGCCATCTTAATAAAAGGGATCATCTACCCTAATTATGTGTATTGTACCATTCTCATGGCTCCTCGAGGTACCTTTCCTTTTTTGCTTTTGCAGGTGCAAAATTATTGTACATTCAAGGCTTAGGCTCCATTTAACGGAGCTTTTAAAAAGTCAAAAATTAGTTCTGAAATTAAAAAACTACTTTTGAATATATTTTAATAATTTTTCGAATGTAGTAGTTTGAATACAACTTTCAAAGAAGTTAACTTAAAATAACTTCTTAGAAAAACTCTTCTAACAAAATCAAAAGCCAAATCTACCAAATGAACCCTAACTAACAACCTGATTGGGAGTGATTTTTTGGTCCAAAAAATTAATTTTTTAACCGTTATTTCACTATTTCAGCCATCATATTTGACTTCTTCTCTCACGAATGAACCTCACTTTTCTCCTAACGGTCAAAAAACCAATTCTTAAAATCACTCCTAAACAGGCTCTAAAAGTGATATCTTTATATAAGTTGAAATATTGACAATACTTGTTGAGTTCACGATTTTTCATTAATCTTTAACCACCTAAGAAAGTGTGATAATATTTGCACATTGCCGTCTGCATCAACTTGCCCAACATGCAATGTTGCTCAATACCTAAGGGCTCCACTACATATCTTATCCAGAACCAAATCCCTACAACGATGTTAGAACATCTGTAACTAATGCTAGCTCATAGCAAATGAACAACTCTTAGAGTCCTTGCCACGATAGCTCGTCCAGCCTAGAAGCATTGTCTCGTTATTTCTACAGCTTATACTCCTAATACAGTGTCCAACACTGGACTACCATCCAATTATGCCCACGAGGTTTCCAAACCACAATGGCAGGTCAAGGCAGTCACAGGTATGAACAGATTATACCAAACGATTGGTGAAACAATCTTGACAAAAAGCCCATGACAACATCGATAACACTCCTACGCTACTGCTGGTTAAGATGCAACAAAATGATGGAGGGCGCAGAACATTACAGATGTATACTAGCAAGACTATATATCGGAAGTATAACGAATATTAACAAAATGATAAATGTCAAAATATTCAAAAATGGGAGAGCATATTATAATGATAATCAAGAGACCTTGGAAAGTATCAACACAAAATAAAAGCAGAGCTCGCACTCTTATGATGCTGGCCAAGCACTTATGCTCTATCTTTCAGAATGGTTTTTCTGTCATAAAAGCCATGTCTAACGATGAGATTTCACCTCAAAAGGTTTCTCCAGAATTAAATACCGAATCATTGTACAGAAAACCACCGTTCATCCACATCATAATTAAAAAAATTCAAGTAGCCATTTATGTGCCGATATAATGTCAGCTCCGTTTTCATCTCAACTTCCTTTCCCGTCTTTCTGAGTCTGATAAGTTACAAATGTTTATTTTCTCTCCCCCTCCAGCTGCCTCCTGAAAATCAGGGACAGGTCATTCAAGAAAAATACCTTCGATTAGGAGATTTTCATACATATTAAGCATTATTTTTCAAATCAAGACAAACTAGACCAACCTTGATTGAATGTGCAAAACTTTCTTCGCAGATTAACTTTTCACATATTCATTGAACGAGCATCTTCCGAAGTATCTTCTCCATTGCCCAACATTGATGATGCAGTCGTTTCATCAGATGTATACCTGAAGGGAGACATCTCAGTCTGACCATCCATAGTGCCATTTGCATCAATTGTAGCATCGTCCAGTGAGACGTTCTGGAAGGAGGTTGCTAGAACATTTTCAGATGAAGAACCAGGGGTCTGTGGGCCAGAATCAGTGTTAGACCAACCAGCATTGCGTAGCCATTTCTTCCACTCGTTACGCTTCCTCAACTTGTCACCCTGCAAATTAGGGAACAGACCACAACAATGAAAATATTTTTGCCATGGCTTCTTTCAAAATTCCATAATCAGCAGACACTGACAGGAGATGAATTCAAGGACTAGCGAGTAGCAACTGAATTTTTCTTATCCAACCTGACACATTTCTATCAAAACAAATGTACACGTGAACCACATGTGACAGAAAATTAAATGTATAATTGAAGGTAATCAAGCTAACACTTGACAAAATTGAAGTTCAGAATCCAGATTGTAAAAAGCTACCTGTACTTCGACAATGGTCGAATTTCTCAAAGAATCCAAAATCAATGAGACATCGTATGTCAATTGCTGAACCTGAAAAAGAAGACCACTAGACAACTTGATCTGTGCATTGGAGAACACTCATACAAATATGAAAAAGTGCATATAAATGAAACTCATAAAGCAAGCAAACGCAATCTAGCAAACATGACAGTTGACATAAAAGATGCTTGACAAAAAAAAGCAAGCAAATGCAGAGATGCTTGACAAAAAAAACTGCATTCAGAAGTTACCTGCTTGAAACATTTGCATTCTATAAAACCAAGTGTGAAGCAGGACAAATCATTGCCTCCAAGAATCATGAATCAAGAGGATTCAGAAAATACTAAGATATACTTGTGGAAGCCCAATAACACAACTTAAGACAATAGTGCTTCTAAATAATTTAAATATGAGAATAAGAAACAATCATTATAGACTCCAGCGACATACTTATTGGAATTTCTGTGCATTATATACGCTCCTGGAAATAAAGAAATAACTGTATTATGAAATGAATCCCAGGATTTCATTTTGAAATAGAACAACTTACAAGGTTATCCCAATATGGAAATTTTTTCTCAAAGTTAGAAATAAAGTTCGATAAATTACAAAGGAATATCGTTAAGCACCAAAAAAATTGATTTCATCTTATGTAAACCTGGCAAAAATCTTATGGCATTTGTAATTAAAAGCAGCACTAAGTTCAAGTGATATAAGCACTAATTAATCTCAAAAGGCATTAGTACAGGCCAGCTATCTAATAATAGAGTTCAAATTATTTACATAAAACAGAGATTAAATAACCTGAATCGTGCAAACAAAAATCCAGCTCAACTTACTCGAGGGAAGCTGGCTATCAAAGTGATAGGCACCCATCCTTGATCATCCATGTTGGACCTCAAAAAATTATCTTTCACCAAATTTTCATCACTGGAAAACAGTCCCTGCTTTAGCAATGAATAATAAAGAAACAAAAAAACATAATTCTTCCAAATAAGTTCTCAACTGACATTTACCTGAAGTAATAATCTATTTGTTTCACAACCAAACTGGGCAAATGATCATTAGTAGCAAAAAGCATTGGTGGTGGCGGAGGCACTATTGGCATAGGCCTGAAAGACTCTGGGGGCAATGTGGGAACATAGATAAAGGGAGCCGACATATCTATACGATGCAACTATTTTAGCAACAAAACAAGTTCATATCGTCAAATTATCAAAGGACAGCATGCATAGTAGACTTACCAAACCCCATTTGGCCAGGAAAAACTCTTACGGGTGGCGCCATGAACGGTGTGGGGCCAGGGGCTAATGGGGATGGCATATATCCCATGGGAGGAACATATTGATGGGAAAGATGAACATCTCTGCGATCTTGATCCCTCCTGCCTCCATGATTATTATGATACGGCCCATCTCCACGAGGGCGAGTCCCATAGTTACCCCTTCTTGAATTATTCCTTGGAGAAGAATGATCATTGCTGGTGTGTGGCTGGGAACCCCCAACTCCTCCTCCTGGTCTCGTTACTCTCACAGGAGTGTCCAGCATAGGTGGTACCATATTAGCATAAGGCTGCATGTCAAACACAGGAAATGGAGGTGGTGGAGGGTTATGATATGGCCCATCTCCACGAGGGCGAGTCCCATAGTTACCCCTTCTTGAATTATTCCTTGGAGAAGAATGATCATTGCTGGTGTGTGGCTGGGAACCCCCAACTCCTCCTCCTGGTCTCGTTCCTCTCACAGGAGTGTCCAGCATAGGTGGTACCATATTAGCATAAGGCTGCATGTCAAACACAGGAAATGGAGGTGGTGGAGGGGGAGGCTGCCGACTAAAGGCAGTAGAAGAAGGCCCACTTCCTGCAGAGCTGCCTCCACCCGCACCTCCACCTCGATGCCTCAACCTTTGTCTAGTAGGGATATTGTTTGCAGTAGAATTAACATGAGCATTGGTATTAGCTTGTCTCTGAGGTGGTTGAGATATTATAGGCCCCTATCAAAAGAAAAGAAATATTAGCAAAGACATCACATGAATGCCTCCACAGAAGAACTCTTATGAATGCCTTTCAATCAGTATAAACATTGTCAATAGCAAAGAATTAGAGCTCTGTTGATCTTTACATAAGCCCCAATTGAAAGATAAAAGAAACAATGATCAATTGGTCTATGGAAAGATAATTAATCTTTTTGAATCTTTAACGACTGGGATGAATTGGCGGAACTAAAGAATTGTACTTTTTAATTATTACTATTATAATTCTAAGTCCAAATAAACTGTCTTAGAACCTCCCTGGAATAAATTCTCAGGGCCATTCAACACAACAATCTAAATATAAAGCAAGAAACCCAAATCATACATTCATATTTACGGCAAAACTTAAAATTTACTCACCAAATTACCATTTACATCAGTGCAGACACATACAAAAAAGACATTAACACGAAAGTATTCAATATCATGAAGCGCAAAAAAATCATTGAAAACAATAACATCCCAAGCCATAAACATAAAAAGTAAAAGTGGACAAATTTTCATTAATATATATTTTAACCTGAGAAGAAGAGGATGATCCATCGGGAACAGGTCTGGAGGGTTCCGATGATGATCTAGGGACGGCCCGGGTTGTTTCAGAGAGAGCGGGCCAAGAAACAGCATCACCCATAACAGAAACAGGCTCAACGACGCCGTTTACAGGTGTATTCCAAGCATGCCTCCTCGGACGGCCTGCATTGCCATCACTGTTAACATCGGAGCTCTCAGGCTGGGCATCCAGGCCCGAACTCTCCATCGGAGATTTTTCAGAAGCAGAAAGCTGCTCCGGCGCAGCCACAGCAATCGGCGGCGGAGATGTTGAGGAGCGAGACGCCGCGGCGGTGGGTGAAGAGACAGAGTCGGAATCTCCACGAACGACTGAGGCCCAAGGCGAGACCAGTCCCCTCCGCCGTGACTGGGGACTGTTAACGCCGCCACCTGCGGTAGAGGCGGCAGCGATGGCAGCATCCGTTACAGGTGAACGTGGCGAGTGGTCATTGTTTAGAGAATCGGCCATCATGACCATTCCAAATTAGTGCACCGCAAAGAAAAAAAATTACACACTATCTCAAAAACAATCACTCTGTGAAATCAAATATAAATTTAAAAAATATATATTTATAGATACTATTTAATCAACACCAATACGTATAAAACTACTGATAAAAGAGAAAACTATAAAGATTTAGATTTTCAATGATGATCACAGATACTGAATTAGGGTTTGGGCCGTCAGCAGTCATAGAGCGGTGATCAACTTCTCTCTTTCTTTCTCTCTCTAGAATTTTATTTTATTTTTTTTGTAACTTTTTGTTTTGAGAGTGGAGGTGACTGAATTTACTAAAAGGGGGCTGAGTTACTATTCATAAAGAAACCCTGGTTTAATTTTAAGCTGAAATGACAACTTTAACCTTAATCTATTCAGAAACCCTAATCCCTTCCAAACTAGGACTAATATTACTCACTTTAATCATTTTAATAAATAATAATCATATAAATACTATTTTCCGAAATTTTATCTTGAAAAATATAATCCTCTGAATAAAAATATTTTTAAAACAAATATAGTTTACTTAATGAGATCTATTTCTTCTAAATTATTTAACTTTAGGTCCTCTCTAATGAAATAAAAAACTAAGTAATTGAAAATATTGTTTAAATCATCATCTTCTAAAAAGATCCTTAGTAAATGATTTATTTTGTATATATTTAAATAGAAAACTAACGTCCAAGCAAAGAAAAATGGTGATTAATCATCCGAACATCGAAACTTAACTGATTTCGTAAGACAAAAAAAATAAGAAATTGTTTCTTTAAGTTAATAGAAAACCCCAATAGTAAGAATATCGGTTCGATCAAATTTAGCCCTTATTCAAGCCCCATTTTTATCAAAATTTATTTTCAATCACATACTTTTTGTTAAAATAATTTTACACATAAATCTAAATTTTTTTCTTATTTTTTAGTCTTACATTCTCCAAAATATCATTATTCAAAAACACATTTTCCTCAAAAAGAAAAAAAAATGGAGTTAATCTCTTTCGATTTTCACCGAAATACTTTACATCTATAGCCCAAAGAACTTTAGGACGGAGACCCAAAAATGTAATGAGCCAATATAACATAATTATCGTTCTCATGGGCCCATTCTGATTCAGATATAAGAATAACTGTAAGTGGAAATTACATAAAAGCGTATTTTTAAAGATACCATTTTATAAATCATATGCTAAGTTTATTATTTTAAAAATTAGAAATTATATTATAAAATTAAGTATTAATTTGCATCTCACCTAACCTATACCCAACCATACACACCAAAACCCTAATCATTTTCATCCTACGCCTTCTCTCTCATCTATAGTCGGTCGACAACAACACCATCCTAAATCATTTTCCATAACCTTTTTCTCTCCACTCGTCTCCGACGACATACTCTTCTCCAGCAACACACACATTCAGTGACATGACATCTCCGACGTTGAGGTGCAACATTGGAGCTGCCTCTTCGTGCAGATGCGCAACTTCTAAGCAGCGCTGTGCTTAGAGCATTCAATCTAATGGTTTCTCTTCGGGCCACAAATCGCGGCGTTCAATCTAGTGGTTTCTTCACGATTTTTGTAGTGATTTTGCCTATCGCAGATATGGTTTTTGCCCTATACACATAGATCAATGATTGTGGTGGGCATTGTAGCATGCTATTGTGTGTGTGGTGGACATTGTGGTCTATTGTGGATACAGGTACATGTGTGTGTGTGCGTGTGTGCGGTGGGCGTTGTGGTGTGCTGTTACAGTTTCGGGTACTGCGATGATGCTAGAGATAGTGGTGCTCATGGTGGTGGTGGGAGTGAAGTTGGAAGAGTGTCCGTGACCAATTAATTGGATGTTATGATTAATAAATTGTTAATTTATAACCGATAAAAAATATGTGACCTAGAAGAATGTGTGATTGTGACTCAAATTTTGGTTGATTTGTTTGAGGTGGTGGTTTTGAAAATGACGATGGTTGTGGTGGTGTTGAAAACAGTGGTGAGTTGGTAGTCATAAGTGTCGGTGATGGTCACAAATAATTTGATTAACTTTACTATTAGATTGGTTAATCCGTAGTCAATAAACAATATTTGATCAATAAAAAAATATAAATTGTGATCAAGAAATAATGTGTAATTTAAAAAATTGTTAATTTATGACTGTATAATAATTTTTGACTCATTGCATTTGTGATTTGTGACTGATAAATAAATCGTGATTTATAAATTTTTCACTTGTGACCGATGAACAAATTGTGACCTATAAGATTTTGATTTGTGATCGAAAAATAAAATGTGACTAACAAATCTTTAATTTGTGACCAAATTATATAGATCTTTGATCTTAATATATTTATTTAATAAAATAAATATTTGATTTTTGAAATTTGAAACCTTAGTTCTTAGTTTTGAAAGGGCAGATTCTTAACTTCTTAGTTATGAATTTCTCTCTAATTGTAAAGGATCAACACTAATTTAACTCAATTTCCTTTTATTTAGATTTTTTTCTTTCTTTCGAAATTACATTCATCCCTTTGTTCGTTGGAGTAAATGTCTTCTTGTAATGATTGAATTGGTAAATTTTGTGCACAGCAATTTATTATAATTATAAAAATGTTAATTCACATTTTTGTTATGTATGGTTGTGTCGAGTGTGGTAGGATTTTAGGACAATTGGATTATTTTAGTATTTGTAATAGACCGAACATTGCATCTATAGCTTGAAAGCATAGTATGAACATCGGACATGGTTTTCAAACATCTAAAAAGAATATTTAATCATTTTGTGTGACCAATTAAAAATTGAGAATGACAATAGAGAATTAAGTGGTTAGATTTTTAGTCTTGCTAGTGATGCAAAATTATGAGAGGTCTATGATTCAATTATGGCGGTATATTTTATAGTATTAGCTTTCACTAAATTGAATGGTTGATTATTGTAAGGACTTTCTTTGACTAAAGTCTATGACCTGTTTGCTCATTAGACTATTATAGTGGTGTTCAAACTCCAGTCACAAACAAGAACCTGGTCGATTTTGTTGAAAATTAAATTTTTAATAGATTTCGATAAAAGTTGATGAAATGTGTATTTAAAATATTGATAAAAATTGTGATTAAAAATGAATTTATAAAAAAAAAATTTAGAAAAATGAGGTTTAAATGGGTAGAAGTCAAATAATCAAGTTCAATCTTTAGAAACCACAACCAAGATTAAAAAATTTATGTTAAAAGCAAAGTGTAGAGGGAGAAAAGAATAAAGAAGAGATATATTTTAGTATTTATTATGAGAAATAACTGAGTAATAGAAAATCGACGACATCAAAGCCTAATATGAGGATCGGTAGGACCCAATAGCTTAAACCTAGCAATTAATTTTAATTTGATACATTGATTAGCTTGGTAATAATTTGATAACGATGCTCGTTATATAAAAAATAGACGCCATAAGCGACTTAGAGGTCCAAATATTGGAGAATAACTCGTCTTCTTAGTGCATGCACACATAGTCGAACGGTGAAAAGAGGTAAAGAAATTTTTTCGATATTTTTCATTGTAACATATCCTAGACTCGTAGTTAAGCAACAAGTCGTTTGCATTTTCGTTGGCTTGGAGGACAAGGACAGAGGAAATAACAATCCTAGCTTGGCCAGGACAGCCATAATATGCAAGAGCCACGGTCAACAAATCTTCCTCTCCCAATGTCACACGGATGGGTCCCATTCCAACATGCAAAACATGGACCAATTCCGATGTGATTAAAATCGGATTTTTAATAGATTTGGATGAAAATTGATGAGATTTGTGTCTAAAAAGTTGTTAGTCCTATAAAATTTGTGTTTAAAATTTGTCGTTGACTTTAACTTAGATTAAAATCTAAATTTTAGTTTGAATCTTGCACTTTATATGAAAAAGTACGTGTTTGGTAAAATTTATAATTATTTATAAGCAAATTAAATTTTACTTTTATCTACGAAATTTGTAAGATTCAAAACTTTTACCTACTTTATTCATTTTTTATCCAAACATTTCTAAGATCCACAACTTATAATCTAATAAAATTGCCAAACATGCTTCAAATATTAGAGGAAATTAGTATAAACTATTTTGCAATGAATTGTAAATGAGCATGAGTGGATCGAGACTGGCATCTAGTTAAAGGAAAACATCAATGTACTTGAGAGTTGTTAGGACATGGAATTCATTAATTTAAATGAAGTCGCATCTCGATGCTTATGTGAAATCATTTTTCTTATAACCCACCTACTCATTCCACCTGCAACCAACAGCCTCGCACCCTAACATGCAGTTAACGATTCAATAAAATATTTCTCTCTTTAGTGCTCCTTAAAATAAAATGATTATAGTCCATTTTCATTGCAATTTCCAACTCTATCTCTGATCTTTCTCTGTATTGTGTGATGGCCCAGACAACTCCAAACCACACGCTGACTGTTTCGGGCTGGGGCGCCCACGATCCCTCTGGCAACATCACACCTTACACCTTCAAGCGCAGGTATATCTATTTATCTATATATTTATATGTTTTTAAGTTGACATATAGTATTTACTGAATCTGGGTTTTTGTGATATGCAGAGAAAATGGGGTGAATGATGTAACTATAGAAATCCTATACTGTGGGATATGCCACACTGATCTCCACCAAGTCAGGAACGACTGGGGCTCCACCATGTACCCTATTGTACCCGGGTAATCCACCAATTAATTGCATTGCACGCATATAGATTATTTTTAATTAAAGAGTATTTATTTTCTGGAAATTGGATTCTGTTTAGAGAAAATTTGGAAATTTTGTAACCCATAAATGTTCTTGCTGTGATTGACTGATTAATGAAGATAAATTTGTGCAATATAAACTCAAAAAGTTAAGTTGAAGTTGGTATTGAAGAAGGCTCCTGTGAGGGTTTGTGAAATAAGTATGTTGTAGATTAAGTTGTTGTTTCTTAGGCAATATTTTGTAATGGCCCAATTTTGATGTTCAAAGAGGAAAATAGCATACTTCTAAATTTTTTAGCTCATGTTTGTTTGGCGTAGCTTAAAAAATTGACAAAAATTTAAATTAAAGTCATCAATTAATTTTTAACATACGAGGAGGCTGCCTATAAGCTCAGAAAGCTCACCAGAGGAGCTTCCAATGCAACTTTGAAGAAGATAAGATATTTTCGAGATATTGGAAAAGAAGGCCATTTCTACATATAATTATAAAAAAGTCTACTTTTCGTTTTTTCTCTCCATTTTGGTCCTCAAGAAGTTTCCTCTTCGTTATATTGATTAGTTTATTCCTTTTCCGATACAATGTTTGCATCAAATTTTCTTTCGATGTTTGCGAATATATATACTCTTACATTATGCAAATGTTAAAGTCCTAATAACTTGTTAGTACATTAGATTGAACATGATTGTACAAGATATTTGGCAAGTGTGATATGCCTTTTTCTACTTCTACATAGTAATATTAACGAACATGTTCTTATAATATGTTGCAGCCATGAAATTACAGGGATTATAACGAAGGTGGGCAGCAATGTGTCCAATTTCAAGGTAGGTTACAGGGCAGGAGTAGGGTGCTTGGCAGCATCATGCTTGAACTGTGATTACTGCAAAGATGGACAAGAAAACTACTGTGACCAACTTCAGTTTACTTACAATGGCATTTTTTGGGATGGTAGCATCACTTATGGAGGCTACTCCAAGTTTCTCGTAGCAGATCATAGGTATCATATCAAGTCAAACATAACTTGCACGAAAATGTATGCTAAAATGATGTGGGATTGTGAATGAGTCGTGATAATTAATCTCGATACAACTTGAAACTAAATGTGGATTATTAGGTCTTTTCATGATTCATTTACTCTTGAGTCATAAATTTGACAGGGAAGAGAGCTGTGAAGGGGAGCATCATAGGAGGCATAAAAGAGATGCAAGAGATGTTGGACGTGTGTGGGAAACACAACATAACATGTGAGATTGAAGTTGTCACGCCAAATCAAATTAATGAAGCCTTTGAGCGACTTGCTAAAAATGATGTTAAATACCGTTTTGTCATTGACATTGCTGGGAAATCTTCAAATCTATAGAGGTTTTCTATTCTGGTGCGTTTTCAGCACTAACCATCAATGTTTAGCTTCGTGTTTGCTCTTTTTGCTTTTGTTGTATCTCCAAATTTGTTCTCTGTTTTAAACATGGACATGTAATATGTTAAATTGTCTGGATTGATTTCAATTATTATCAAGTCTAATTAAGAATCTCGGAAATAGTTGAGCCACTTAGATTTTTCAAGAAAAACATGCATAAAGTTACAATTCAGTCACCAATATTTTGAAAAATCATGTGAAATTGTCAAGTTCTTTCCACAAATTACTTGTAACTTTCATAATTTTAATGATCTCCCTTGCAATTATTTAGTTATTTTTTACTAACCAAGTTATCAATGATAAAATTATTATTAAGTTTAGTGACTAAATATGTAAAATAAATACTTTAATGACCTTTATTAAATTTTGTTCACACAAGGCTATTAGAATTAAATCCAGGGAAATTTATATTGCGCAGTCTCTAACCTAAGACCTTCTAGCCTATGGGTCTAATAGCAGCTTGGGCCCCACAAATTTAAAAAATTGGACCACAACCTTGAGGGCTCCCACTGCCCACTCCTAGAGCTTTGTGAGCGAGGTAAATCGCAGAATGTACCTCAACAGGCCAAGGAATAAGAGTTGCCTGTACACTGAACCCCACAAATCTACATATTGGTTCTCATGCATCAACAAACATATATTTTGTGTTTTCCAATAAGGAGATGATTGGTGTACAATGTAGGGATTACAGATACCTCACATGGGCAGGGCGGGTGAGTTTTTTGACATTATTTATTCATGCGGGGTTCACATTTTGTGTGATATTTGTAAATTTTCTTTAAGAATTTTTCTGTACGCCAAACATTACTCTTTCTAATATTGTCCGTGTGTACAGCCCCCTTCACATGTTGAGGACCCACATGAATAAAATAATTGTGGACCCCCTCACAAGTGTACAGCTCTTACACCAAGCAAGTCTCATTTGTTCAGTCTTTGAGTTGGAAAAAAAAAAAAAAATGAGTACGGAAAGAAGCAAACTCAGCGTTGGAAAAATGACGTGCACCAAATTGACCTACTACTACTTTATTTTGGATCTCAAAGGGTGGCAGAGCTAAATATTTTGAGTTGAAAAAACAAGAGTACTCTGCTTCAAGGGAATAAATGAGATGCATTAGGTTGAAATGCTACTACTCTAATTTGGATATAAAGCAGTGACGAGCCTAAACATTTGAAGTTTTGCGGTGCCAAATTAACATGGAATTTTTTTTTTATTACTTACAGAATTCCAAGTTTCGATGCTTTACAATTTGAATTGTTCAAATTATGTTTAAATTATTCATATTATATTGAGCACTTGTTTGAGCCCCATTTTTTGGGAAGAATGAATTTTTGAATAGTGTATTGATGAAAAATGTGTGGTTAAAAAATAAGGAAAAAGTTTGAATTTGCGTGTAATATTATTTTATTGAATTATGTGTGGTTGAAATGATGTTAAAACACTGTTGAAAAATGTATTTTTCCAAAAGAATGAGGCTCAAACAAGGACTGAATGTTTTATCCATTGATTTGTGATGAGCACAATTTATATACGATTCAACCACCCACAACTTCAGGCTCGAGGTTATGATGACTTTGAGCACTCCCCTTGGGCCAAAACATCCTCAAACTTGTATTGTTGGGCCCACCTTGGGCTTGAGGCCCTTGAATGTCATTTACTACCCTACCCTTTTCCCTCTCTCTTCAATCCCTATCCTAAAAGGACTCTCCCTTTACAATCCTATTACCACCCAACTATTTTGGTCAAACAATTATATTAGAAATTCAATGTTCACCTCATGCAGGACTCTTTAACAAGATAAGGCATTAAAATGACTCAGTCCTATTAGGATTGCACTGCCTACTTCTATAAATACAAGACTTTTGCTCAGTATCCATGTACATTCTTTTACATGCTTTTAACTTATAACATTTCGCATAAATTCCCTTATCGCTAACTTAAGTGCTGGAGGGGTGACAAGAATACATCTCAACGTTTTTTTTAGGTATTGGAGATCCTTCTCGTGCTCATTCTTGGTCTTCAAACACGAGATTTTATAGGTGCAAATATTTTGTAGCATCATTGGCGTCATCAATGGAAAACAATATAAACGTTCAGGGCCTCATCCAGCAAGTTCAACGACTTCACTTCAGCTCCTTACGAGGATATCCTTTAATCCCTCCAGTGGTGCTGCCGAAGGTACCACCACCCGAACTTGTAGTTGTCATTCCAGGAGTATTCGAAGAGCTCCGCCAACAAGTAGCTACTCTTACTCAATTGTTAAGTCAACAAAATCCACATCCCAATGCTAACACTTGAGGTCAATTTCATGGCAGATGCTCGAGCTGTGAATATCGCTCCTAACCACGGTAGTGTTAGAACCTTGGGTCGACTTTCCATGACCTCGACCTCGAGGTCAGTCACCATGAGATCAAATGAACTCACCAAGATCATTCAAGATGAGATAACGGTTGGTCTACTTCAAAACACATAGGGCCCAACATGTTTCACTCTTAACACACCATTTACTTTTGAGATTCTATCATATCCACTGCTGGATAGATTTAAAAATCCTCGGATAAAGGAGTACGATGGGACCATCGACTTAACTAACCATCTCAATGGGAATACCGATGTCACGAATCTACAAGTTGCTCCAGAACCGGGGATGTACAAAGCTTTTCACAGACTTTGACTAATGCTACTAAGGATTGGTCTCTACCCTAGAGCCCAATGGCATCGTCTCATTCTCCAATCTAGCCAACAAATTCACCGTATTTTTTGCAAGCAGCAAGTGCATCAAAATGACTGTCGCTTCCCTCATGCAACTCTGACAAGGGACGAATGAACCCCTTCATAACTTTATGATACGATTTAATACAGAAACACTTCAGATACTCAACTTGCATATTATAGCTGCCGTCTTTACCTTTACATACATCGAAAAATGTGAGGCATTTGAGATAGCTTTGTCAAAAACTCCACCAAAGTTTGTGATAAAACTATTCACTAGATGTGAAAAATACATTAAAATTGAGAAAATCATGTATCCTATGAAAGTTGCCCCGACAACCAAGAAGCCTGGCCATAAGAGACAGCACGAGTCTAACATGTAACACCCCCGAATTTTTCTTACTATTTTTCATATGGACCTAAATTTAATAATGGTTATCTAGCAAATGAAATAGTTTATACATATCCTTGTTGTCACACTAGAGTTCAAAAGTTAAAGTGACAAACTCGACCTACTCATTTGCATAAATAATTTATTTGCTTACATATATTTTTAAATTTTATCGAAAGTTAGTTGGGTCGAATATTTAAGTATTTAAAAGTTTATAAAAAAAAAAAACATATCGATATTATACTCATTTTATACCTATATTAAATAACATAAATTGGCTTAAGAAGAAATATTTTAAGATTAGTTATACTTGAGTTATGTTGATATAAAGAAGTATTCTAGATTTATATATTTTATTAATAAAATCAAGATGTAAATATAATAAAATAAGGGAAATTTACATAAATGTCACTAAATTTGAAAGTGCACAAAAAATTTTGTCTAGCACCAAAATTTTCCAAAAATGTCACTTTTTTCTCCGCAAAATGTCCATCTTACTCTTTGACACATTTTTAGGAGCAATAAATGCTTGATTTTAATGCAATTAATGGTGTGATGTGATTATTTATTTTTTTTTATTGCTAACATTGAATAAATGAATATTATATTGTATAATATAAATTTTTAATTAAAAAAGGGTGGAATCTGTACAAAATACACACACACGTAAGACTTGAAATTGCTTCTTCTTCTTCTTCATCTCCCTTCAATCATCAACAAAGTAACAAGGAGAGCCATTAATCAATCTCAAAGATGAGGCAGTAGAAAAGAAATGTTTTCATGCCATACTTGATTACTTTAAATGTTCAACAGAATATGATCATAATTAATTATCCATTTTTAATCTCTTATTCATTGATGTGTTTTATTTTTTGTATATTTTAGAAATGGAAAAAATATCAATATTCTCAACAAAATGTGAATGATTCCATATTTAATGAAGTATTGAGTTATACTTTCTTTATATGTGGGAAGATCAGTTGATGTTGTAGTTGAGAATTGATTATCACCATTAATGTTTTGCAATAAATTTTTCAAACAATCAAATACATGATTTTTAGCTTCCCCAAAACTTATGGTAGTTCAACTGTTGAGCAGTTTCGTTGAAATCATCAGGTTAGACATTTTAACTGTCGAACTCGACATTTAGTAACTGTCAGGATGGATAGAGAATTCAATTGTCGATTTTGACACCTGAAGTGCTTTATTTGTAATTGACAATGGCAACATGCTATTTATAATCAATTTGAAGGGAGGAAGCAATTATGATCATTTACTACGTAACCACAAAGTCCAATTTCATTTAAATTTAGTCGGTATGATGGTTCAATAAAATAATTGTACCTTTATCCCTCCCATTTCCACATAATTACTAGGATATTGTGACCCTTAAATCATTTGAACAATGGATGCAATTTTCCTGCAATTCACATTATACACTTTTTAAATTAGTTGTAACATGGTTGTCATGACTTTGGCATAATAATAAAAATGGCTCATCACCTTAACCCAATTAAAAAAAAAAAAAAAACTCACATTAACGTGCTTGTGAATTAGTTGTAGCATGGTTTCGTGAAATGGAAAAATTTAAATGGCTAGTCATCTTAACCCAATCATCATTGACGAACGACTTTGTAATTGATCAGGAAAGAAGAAAACATGGTCCAAGTAAACTAGGAACTCCTACACAACGTGCTCGTGCCTTCATTACAAAATAAATTATAGTGTACATAACCATTTATTATTTGCAAAATCTATGCATTCACTATGCACTAACCCCACACTGTTGATCTTCAGTTATCGCATTACAACATTCAAACTAAAAAACAACAGACCAACTTCTAGCACATTAGACCAACTTTCTCAATCGGGCATTTTCTAAAACTAGGAATTCAAACTTCATTTCTCCTACAAAGTACAACGAGAAAAACAAGGATTAGATCTTGATAAAACATAGAAATGTAACACGTAATGAATCGAACTCATGCTT